TGAATGCATAAATAAGTGGAACAACAAATCCATGTCTCTCTAAAAACAGTAAAAAAAGTTAAAAAATAAAAATGTCATAAAAGTAGAATCTAGAGTTCTCTGGAAAAAAGAATTCTTAAATGACTTAGTTTTTTAAGTCTAGCTCACAGTCATTTGAAATACTGTGTCTGTCATGCTGGAAATACAGTATTTAGGTAACTGAGTCCTTGAACTGACCTTGAGGAATTTATAGTTGAGGGAAGCAGGATCTGCCTTAATGAACTTGTTACTGTAATAAGCAATGCTAAGGGACTGATAAGTTAGGAAGGAGAAGATGGGGCAGTCTGTTATTAGAGGAAACTCTGGAGTTAGGATTTGATTTGAAAACTAACTTGGCACCGAGAGAAGGATTAAGGGGTGTTGGCTCTAAAATTAGGTTTCCTAAGTTTGAATCCTGGTTCTACCACTTAGCTGTGTGATCTTGAACATGTCAGGAACTCTACCTCAGTTTTCTCATCTATGAAATGGGGACAATAGGTAACATTATTGAAACATGTGCTTTTCATGTATTAACTTAAATGCAACCCAAATGCATTAGGCATTCCTAAACCTATTTTATAAATGGATAAGTTGAGGCTATAGTTTAGTAACTTAAGATCATATGGTTAGAAAGTAGTGGATGGATCAAGGAGTTGAACCGTCCAGGACTTGTAAACATTACGATAATACTGTTGGAAGGATCAAATGAGAACATGTCACAAGTGTAGGTCCTACTATATAGTCACTGCTCATTATGTGCCATCCATCTCATAGAAATGAGTTAGGACATTCTAGGGGCAGTGATGGCGAACCTATGACGTGTGTCAGAGGTGGCACGTGAACTCATTTTTTTGGTTGATTTTTCTTTGTTAAATGGCATTTAAATATATAAAATAAATATCAAAAATATAAGTCTTTGATTTACTATGGTTGCAAATATCAAAAAATTCCTATATGTGACACGGCACCAGAGTTAAGTTAGGGTTTTTCAAAATGCTGACACGCCGAGCTCAAAAGGTTCGCCATCACTGTTCTAGGGAGTTGGGATGGCCTAGTGGAGCACACAGCTGAGCAAAGGAATTTGGATGTAGTTGTGCAATATATCGAGTAACAGTGAAGGCAATGGATTTTTTTTTTATTGATTTCAGAGAGGAAGGGAGAGAGTGATAGAAACATTAATGATGAGAGAGAATCATTGATTGGCTGCCTCCTGCACACCCCATACTGTGGGGATCGAGCCCTCAACCTGGGCATGTGCCTTTGGCCAGAATCGAACTGGGGACCCTTTAGTCCACAGGCCAACACTCTATCCACTGAGCCAAACCGGCTAGGGCAAGGCAGTGGATTTTGTAGGGCAAGGTACCTAGGAGTGATGTAGGTCACTAGACCACACCAGATTGGGCCACTTCCATTCTCGGGCAACAGTGTTCATTGTCTTGGGAACAGATTCTCTGGATATGGAGAGGAAAGGTAATGGGCTTGCGAATACATTAAGGGGAGGCTAAGAGCATGTAGCTGGGAGTGGGATTGGAGCTCCCTCTGAACCTCCCTGAAGAATACTGGTTTTTAATTTGAGCCCTTATTGGACCAGTAACTCATTTCTGGACTGGGAGCCAGCTATTTATTAGGTGTATAAACTATATTCACCCCTAAGGGTATGAAATTAACACAGATTGCTTACTCATATTTGAGTGGTTTTTAACTGACACCACCAGTGTTTCTCTCCCTAAATTTGGATTTGTCCCTCATTTTCCCTTTAAGAGTCCAGGCTCCAGGTTCTTTCATTCCATCAAGATTTGCAGCCAGAACATACAATTATGCTTAACTCTAACAGAACATCAGCTTTCTAGATGACTTTGGACAAGTCAGTTTACTTTTTAGGGGTTTAGTAATCTGGTCAGCAAATTAAAAATAAGTAAAATGGCATCTACATGTTTTAGACAAGGTACTTTTAAAACATCCCATTCAATCCCATTTTCTATAGTTGAGGTGGTATGGTAGAGGATTTGGACTAGATGTCTTTACTTAAAACTTTAATGGAAAAAATAAAAATAGAAATCGTTTAATCGTTTTTAAGGTATAAACATTAAGCTCCTTTAGTACTTGGTAAAATACAATTGGTTAAATGATCATTATGGAAACACTCAAGCTATAAATTTTCCTATCTAAAGCTTCATTTTGCAGCATTTGTCAAGCTGATAATCCTGGTGATGAAAAGCTGTAGCATAGGTTACCTCCTGGCTTTGGGGCACCTGTTTGTTTTTTATTTATTTTTTAAAAATATTTTTATTGATTTCAGAGAGGAAGGGAAGAAGGGAGAGATAGAAACATCAATGATGAGAGAAAATCATTGATCTGCTGCCTGCTGAACGCTTCCCTACTGGGGATTGAGCCCACAACCTGGGCATGTGCCCTTGACTGGAATCAAACGCGGGACTCTTCAGTTCACAGTCTAATGCTCTATCCACTGAGCCAAACCAGCTAGGGTGCACCTGCTTGTTTTTAGAAATAAGTATCCATCTTAAGCTGGTATTAACTGGAAATCCAGTCATTTGTTTTGGTTATCAAGAAGTTAATACGCATTCATTCATTCATTTGTTAATTTAATCAACAAATTTGAGTGCCCACCATGTGTCAGATGCAATTCTAACACTGGACATAGGGAATAAGAATAGGTCCTGTCTTTGTAGAACAAGTATTTGCTTGAGACAGGTGAGAGGAAGGCAGAAGATGAATAAACAAGTAGGATTTCAAGTGGATTTGAAGTATTTGGAAAAATAACATGGATTCATGGGATAGAGTGCCAAGATAGGGTTGGAGTAGGGAAATGTCTTTAGAGGGGTGGAAAGTGAAGACCCTGGAGAAAGAACATTACAGTCTGAAGTGGGACAAAAGGCAAGTGTGCTGTAACATAGTTGGGAGTGGTAGTGAGGAGAGTGTGTGTGTGTGTGTGTGTGTGTGTGTGTGGTTGTTAAAGAAATTGGGATATTCTGGCAAGAACCAGATTGGGTAGGGTGAGTTTGAAAGTTTTCAAATTGCAATGGGTTTTAAAAAGTAGGGGGATGATTTAATGTGGTTTACTCAGTTGGAGAACTTGGAAAAGGAAACATAACCTAGAGACCTTTCAGAAGGTAAATCAAGTAATTGGTTTGGGAAATGGGATTGAGCAGTGGTCTACAAACTGGCTTAAATTGAGATCCTGAGAATATATTCCTAGTCTCCTGTGGGCTTGGAGAGATTACTACTTTCATAGAGTTGATTTCATATATGCTTTGGTATTTTTGGAAGGAAGTTTATGTCCAGGGCAGTTGGGATACAAATATTTTGGAAGATCAAACTGAAAGGTGCTGAGAGGATTTTTTTTTACCAGATGTATTTCCCTGTCCAGATGATTTGTAACCACCTCCTGATGCTGGCCCCTCCAAAATGTGGGCACACATGCAGCTGACCAACACGGAGTTGCTTTTCTTCATCACTGATCATATGGCCTTTACTCAGTATCAGCATCACAGTCCACAATGAAAATGGACCAATATTAGTGACCACCACATGTGTAAATGTTGCAGTTTGGGGTTTACCTTTTCCCACTCTAGAATAAGTAATTGTCCAGTTTTCCACCATTTGATTTTGGAGTCATGTCAGGGGTTTTGTTTTATATATATATAATTTCGGAGAGGAGAGGAGAGAGAGAGAGAGAAACATCAATGATGACAATCATTGATCTGCCTCCTGCACGATCCCCACCAGGGATCAAGCCTGCAACCTGGGCATGTGCCCTCACTGTGTGGGGACTCTGACGCTCAATCACACCGGCAGGGCTTATGTCAGGTTTTAAAACCCATTTTCAAAACCTTGCTTTGCCTTTCTCTTTATGACCCCACCACTTTTTGGAGGGACTGCTTTGGATTGTAGTATGTTCTGTTGTCATTTTCACTCCTGATGATCCCTTTTCTCCTAAACAATTCACTGATTTTATCATGTTTTAAGTTCTTCCACCTAGTATTTGTCATTCCTCTTTTATTAACTCCCTCTTTAAAGACTGCCTTGCAAAGGGGTCATTGCTTGCTCAATGAATATGGGATTATGTGAAGAAGCCAGAGGACGAGAAAGAAAATGTGATAAGGGAACTGGACCCTCTGGAGAATGTTTTGATTGTTTTTTGTTTGTAGCTGGTTGTGATTAGGCTCTTCTCTCTAAGGTCCATTCTAGGATTTTAAACTTACAGCTCTGGCTGATGGCACCCAATAAAATAAAATAAAAAAACCTTGCTGCTCCATTTTTTTCTCAGGGCAGGGTGGGGTGTTTTCTCAATTTCCATGGCCACACACACAGAAGCTGCTGCTTCATCTTGGACTCCAGGAGGCTAGTTCCTCGGGGGAACTTCCTGACTTCTCAGCGTTTCCTGAGTAATGCAGCCCCAACCCCAAATTACTTGCGTCCATTAACCGTTTAGAGTTCCTTTTATTACCACCTATGAACATAGTTTTAATTTAGGGGAGCTCCGGGACTCCAGGGCAACAGGATGGATCTTGGTCAAAGGAGGAGGTTGATTTCTTAAAAGTGAAACGCTTCCTTATTACCGACTTTTGGGTCTGCATAAAGGTCTGGTCCGCAACATCGGGGCTGCAAGGGGTGTTTTGGGAGGTTAGAGGGAGAAATTTGGAGTAGAAGGCAAAATAGAGCGCGGAATACTGTGAGGGTGTGCACGAGGAAGTGGCGAAATGAAGCTTCACAGAGTTGGCGCCCTGCAGCTAAAGACCGCCACACCTGGGCCCTGACTCGCTCACCTAATGGCGGGTCGAGCCCCGCGGGCATACCCCACGTTCGTAGTTCCTCCCGCAAGCCAACCCTTACCCAATCAGTGACTTCTTCTGCGCGAGGTTGGTGCTCATTGGCTTTCGCCTAAGAACTTGGCGTTACTGACGTTTCCACCTCTTCCCGGCCTCTCAGGTAATTGGCGTTCATAACAACCAATCAGGAAGAGGATCTGCGCGAACGCCTGCCTTTTACTTTACTGAGTGGCCAATCGGTGGTAGATACCTCCCCCTTTCTACCCAGAGTCACTGCTGCGACTGCCGCCATTTTAGCGTTTTGTCAGAAGCATCGGCGCCGCGAGGAAGAGTTCCTGCTGATTCCTGTGCGGGTGAGAGACTCCGACTCCCTCCACTGCCCTTATTTTGCTCTGTTAAATCTTCTCTCACTCCCTTGGGCTTCGGGAGTATCCTAGTGGGGTCGTGGCCTCCGCACCGGTAACAGCCGATTTCGGTGCTCGGCATTTCGCGGTAAGCGTAGAGCGTCCCTTCCCCCCACGACCTCCCCCGAGAATACCTTGCTCTCTGCCACCCTGCGCTGTATCCGACTTGGTTCGGCTTCTTGCCTCGAGGTTTCCACCGCGGTAACCGCGCTTCCCGTAGACTTGGGGATAGCAAGCCCGGTTCGAGAATTTTTCTGGCCCTGAGACATTGGTGTCGGGCTCAGGAGTATGGAGCCCCCTTTTTCTGGCCATGCATTTCTCGGTTCTGCAGGAGCCCGGGGAGGCGTTCCGAACGCACTCCAGAGCTTCCCGTACTTTTCTCACCCCCTCGCTTCTGGCCCTAGTCAGCCCGGTCACTCCTTCCAGAGGAAACTCTAAAACCCCGCTATTCTAAGGCCCACTATTCCGGAAATGGTGGTTACTCGGTTATGAGAGGAAGAGCCAGTTCATAATTTCAGGCAGTCAATCCAGCCAGCCAGTAGTTAGGCCTTTGTTTTCTGACTATCCTTATCACGGATAGAAAAGCCCAGTTCCCGTAGCGCTGCACTTAGGCTTTCATTTCCATTCCTGTTTGAAACTATTTCTTATCAAATCCTTTGTGTATTAGGGCCCCTCTATTACACTCGTCTCATTCTTAATAGGTCTGTAGCCGGTACTGTAGGGGGCCTCCTTATTCCCACTTCCCTTTGTTATCGTTTGGAGGTGGTTTTGTGAGAGAGGGAACCCTGTTTGGAAACATTTGTTAGAGTGAAAGAAGATGACAGTATTCTTTTTTCAGATGGGTGTGGAGGTCTTGTTAAAATTGTTCTTCTCATCCAGGCAGTGTCGAGATGGTGAAGCTGTTCATCGGAAACCTGCCCCGGGAGGCCACAGAGCAGGAGATCCGCACACTCTTCGAGCAGTACGGGAAGGTGCTGGAATGTGACATCATTAAGAACTACGGCTTCGTGCACATAGAGGACAAGACGGCGGCAGAAGATGCCATCCGCAACCTGCACCACTACAAGCTGCACGGGGTGAACATCAATGTGGAAGCCAGCAAGAATAAGAGCAAAACCTCCACAAAGTTACATGTGGGCAACATCAGTCCCACTTGTACCAACAAAGAGCTTCGGGCCAAGTTTGAGGAGTACGGTCCAGTCATCGAGTGTGACATCGTGAAAGATTATGCCTTCGTACACATGGAGCGGGCAGAGGATGCGGTCGAGGCCATCAGGGGCCTCGACAACACAGAGTTTCAAGGTGAACCACCCTCTTTGGGAAGAGGGCTGAACACAGGCTGTGTGCAGAAATAGGTTGGATAAGTCAAGGGAGGGGTTTGGGGTAGAAATAGAGCTGGTGGCTGGCTGATGAACCTAAAATGGAGAATGCTTGGGATTTAGAGGCTTTACCTTAGGCAAATAAGACTCTGGGAGAAAAAAAACGACTTGGCTTTAGTTTGGAGCCCCTAAGGCTTTTGTTGTTGTTGTTGTTGCTATTAGTGCTGCAGTACTTTCCTCTGAAGATTTGCCCAGTGATGTCTTGGGGTGGGGGGAGGGGAGTAGCAGAGCACAGTACAGGCATACCTTGGAGATACTGCAGGCTCAGTTCCAGACCACTGCAATAAAGCCAGTATCGCAACAGAGGGAGTCAGAGAGAGTTGCAGTCTTTTTGTGGTGGAGAGTTTTCAACTTGGAGAAAAAAAAAATCTTTGAAAGTGTGATAAAGCAAGGTATCCTGTATCAGAATCATGCATCATTTTTTATTCAAAGAACCTGGCAAAAGCTGCTTAAGCAACACATTTAAGAGTAGAATCCCTGTTAAACTCCACCTCACACCAATTCATAATTTTTCAGTAAAGATAATTAGTTTTTAGATAATTGGTGTCTTTTTTTAAATATATATTTTTATTGATTTCAGAGAGAGATAGAAATAGAAACATCAATGATGAGAGAGAATCATTGATTGGCTGCCTCCTGCACACCCACACGGGACCGAGCACACAAGCCCGCAACCCAGGCATGTGCCCTTGACCGGAATCAAACCCCGGACCCTTCAGGTGTCTTTAAAGGGCTACGGTTACTCCTGGTGCTCTTATCAAGATTTTCTTTTGAAGATGAGACCACTCTACAATTAAAAGGCTAATTTCAGGATTTCTGAGGAGGATGTATTGAGATATGGGGGAGGCAGTAATGGCAATGTTTTTTTCACTGGTTGGGGGGCGGGGGCGTGGACTTCTAAAGTCCTTCATGAATAGAGTACTTAAATGGGTGTTACCTTGAAGCCTTGACTAGATGGATTGTTTAGTATGCCTGGAGGGCAGTATGAGTTATGCTGTGGACTGTCACTTTATTTGGAAGGTGTCTTCATGGTTTAAGATCTAAGCTTCTGTGCCAAAAGGCAATCATGAAGGGGGTGGTAATCATGGTGAGTTGTTAACTCTTCTTTCACCCCCATTGGGTCCCCAATGTCAAAAAGAGCCCTTTCCCTTTGATTGTAACTGCTTCCAAATTATTGGGTTATTCCCACAACTCCTTGCTACACTTTTAACCTACATTCCAACCTTTTTGTCCAAACCAGGTAGTGGCTGCTGCTTTTCCTGAGAACTTCTCTTTTTAAGAATAATTGCTGCTATCTTTGCTGTTTATTTCCCTCAAATTGGACCTTTCTTAGAGCTGGAGGTCTGATCATCATTCCCCCAAGTAATCATAGGTGTTGCTGTGCATTAATTATTAAGGAGAAATGTCACAGGTCTCTAGAGTTTAGTTTGTTTTCCTTTTTAATTGTTAAGTTGAGAATTATTTTGTGTCAACCACTTAATTAGGAGAAAATGCTGCTCTTGTGGAGGGTTTGTGGTCTGATACCTAGTTTTTGGACACTTTTTTTATACTTAAGTGCAGTCATAGAAGAGGAGGTGGTGGTGTCTGCTTGTAGCAATTATGTGTAAGGAGGTACAGTGGATTAATTCAGGACAAATCCTTTAGCATTTGAACTCTAGGCTCTCTGCTACCTATACTTAGTTATTCTTGTCCTATTTTTCTTACTATTAGCTATTCTCCTTAATGCTGCCTCGTAGAGTTTTATGTAGAATAGCATTATATATTAGTGGTCCTTTCCCATTTCAGTTTCTCTATATTGGGTATATAGCTGACCTTTGAACAACACGAGGCTTAGGGCTGCTGGCCCACTCCACAGTCGAAAATCCTAGTATAATTTCAGTTGGCCTTCTGCATAAGTGGATTCCCATCCTCAGTTGAAAATACAGTTGGCTCTTGAGACAATACCAGTTTTGAATTATGTGGACATAAGGGGGCCCACGCAGTTCAAACCCATTTTGTTAAAGGGTGAACTGTATTTATTTGTCATATAAAAATATAGATATTTTAAAAACTAGCTTATCTCAGGACACTTAATAATCTTTTATATCTGGGATGTATTTGGTTGGTTCCTTGGTTACACCTATTTCTTATGATTTTGTTAGATGCCAAAGTGGTCCTGTGGGCAAATGCCAGAGGGACACAGGTTAGCACTTTAAAGCACTTATGTATTTAATTGCATATCTTAACTCTTAACCTGCAACCTACACTTACCAATGTGTAAACCAGGGCTTTTTTAGTATTTTGGTCCTTCCACCTCTTTTCCGTTTTCTCGCCTCCCAGAACCTAATTTTATTTTGCAGATGAAATTGTGTATTTACTACTTTCTGTAATGTTATATGAACAGATGACCTGTTGACTCTTCCCTGGTTCTGACCATTCACTTCTTTGACATCTGCATGTTTGGGTGCATCACAGCCAGTTGCATTAGAAAGTTCTTGCTGGACTTTTCCTTACCATTAAATTGGTAGATCATGTTAGGTGGTAACTGCTTCTATGAAAAGGTTTAAAAGTTAAACTTTTTTTTTTTAAATTTAAACTTTTCCAGAAAAGTGTTGTTTTTTTCTTTTCGGTTAGGTTTTCAGAAGCGATATTTTGCATTTCCAGAATGCAAATTGTAGTTTTTGGCAAAAAAATAGTAATAAGTACATATTCTTAGAATCTCAGATCCCTAGTTTAAGGGGAAAAAGTACTTTAGCCTTGCTAAAATGAACAGTTTGATCCACTAATATTACTGGTTATTCACTTTTCTCATCCTCCCTTCCATATTTTTCATAATCTTTAAAAAAATTCAGGCAACTTGTGAACTCCCTGCCCTGTTTCCTTTGATTCCACTAGGGGTCATCAAAGTTAGTTGTCAGATTGTCAAGTATCCTTGTTAGGATGAATAGCAGAACCAGTAATTTAAAGGACCCAGTTAATGAGTGGGCAGTCCTTCAACTTGTATTTCACTCTTCCCCCAGTGCATGAGTGTTTTTCCCAAAAATCTGAAAATTGCCTATCACACTCAGCCACTCAGTGATCAAGTCTGGATCACTCTCTGTTAGGGGTAGCTTTAGAGTGTTATTTTATTCTCTCTGATTTTGGAATGGGGCGGAAGTCTGGGGGGACTAGTCTTTGCATTCCTTTGCTTAATGAAATCAGAGCCTTTGATAGTAAAGATGGAAGTTCCAGAATCTTGCTGAGCAATCTTGTGGTTTCTTTTGACATTCATTGGTCTACTGTTCAGAGTAGTTTTTGTGCACAGTTACTTGGTATTGAATGAGATACTTGTTTTTGTGCAAGAGTGGTTTCTTTCTTAAGCATTACACTAGTGTTAGGTGTTAGAGTGGAAACATTTCTTCATCTAATCTTTGTCTGAAATCAGGTCACTATACTAAATTTATTTATTGGACTTTATAAAAAAACCTGGCATTGAGTTCTGCATTAGCATTGTCTAGGTAAAGCCATTGCTATGACCAGTGTCGGGGGTAGGGGCTGGGGCTATGACTAAGAGTGATAGCAACCCTTCTTGCGTCTGTTTCTTCAAGGCAAACGAATGCACGTGCAGTTGTCCACCAGCCGGCTTAGGACTGCGCCCGGGATGGGAGACCAGAGCGGCTGCTATCGGTGCGGGAAAGAGGGGCACTGGTCCAAAGAGTGTCCGATAGATCGTTCGGGCCGAGTGGCAGACTTTACCGAGCAATATAATGAGCAATATGGAGCAGTGCGTACACCTTACACCATGAGCTATGGGGATTCATTGTATTACAACAACGCATACGGAGCGCTCGATGCCTACTACAAGCGCTGCCGTGCTGCCCGGTCCTATGAGGCAGTGGCGGCTGCAGCTGCCTCCGCGTATAATTACGCAGAGCAGACCTTGTCCCAGCTGCCACAAGTCCAGAACACAGCCATGGCCAATCACCTCACCTCCACCTCTCTCGATCCCTACGATAGACACCTGTTGCCGACCTCAGGAGCTGCTGCTACAGCTGCTGCTGCTGCAGCAGCCGCTGCTGCTGTTACTGCAGCTTCCTCTTCATATTACGGGCGGGATCGGAGCCCCCTGCGTCGCGCTACAGCCCCAGTCCCCACTGTTGGAGAGGGCTACGGTTACGGGCATGACAATCAGTTGTCCCAAGCTTCAGCAGCCGCGCGGAATTCCCTGTACAACATGGCCCGGTATGAGCGGGAGCAGTATGCAGATCGGGCGCAGTACGCAGATCGGTCGCAGTACGCAGATCGGGCGCAGTATGCAGATCGGGCGCGGTATTCAGCCTTTTAAAGCTTGAGGTGAGAGCGGTGGGGTGTCACCTGTTCTGGTTTTGCCGAACCTCCTACAGCCTAAAGGCTCCAGTTAGGCTGCTCTGCTTGCTTGCTTTTGCAGGGTTAAGGTAAGGTTACTAGCATGGTACAGAGGTTAGGAAAAAGTCCTAACTAGTTAACTTTCTGAAATAATGTAAACACCCTTACCACTCATGGCTATTTTTCCAGGGATCCTGGTAGTGGGAGTTAATCTGATTCTATCTGTGTCTGGTAAAACAAAGAATGGTGTGATGAATCTTGGGTCACACCTATGTGCTATAAATGAACTGAAATTGAGACCCAGATATTTAGACTCAGGTGTGTTGTTTTTTTTTCAGCGCCTTTGTTGAAATTCCTAGGTATGTGACATTACTAAGGTCTGCAAGTTTCCTGTTCTGCTTTGTACTGTGTGAAAGGTCTGATATGACCTGTAGTGATAAAATCAGTAACTGTATAGTTAACTGGTCATCACTGCTCAAGTCCCAGTTACTATGAAGACTACCCAAATGGCATCATCATAATCTTGAAGCAGCATATTTCTGACATTCCTGAACAGTTCACCCACTATGAGCTTTATAAAAAACCTTATTTGATGTTAAGTTGGGGCAGAGAGGAGAAAAGTATCTTTAATTTATAAAATTGAGTTCAATAAGGAATCTGGGGCATATACTCAAACCTACTTCTCCATGCAGCTCAAGATTCATTTCCTGTATAGTGCACCCAGTCCATTGCTTTATCTTAGAATCTATCCTGTAATAACCTGTTTACTTTGTTCTACAAACTGCCCCCACAGGGTTAGATTTGACATCTCTCCACTTCTTAAAGATAGATAATATGTGTGCATACCTGTTAATTTTATTCTCCAGGGTTGGGAGCTTCGCTTTTTAAGCCAGCGATTTTCAATACATAAGCTCAAGACTTTTTTTTTTTTTTTTTAAATATATTTTACTGATTTTTTACAGAGAGGAAGGGAGAGAGATAGAGAGTTAGAAACATCGATGAGAGAGAAACATCGATCAGCTGCCTCCTGCACATCTCCTACTGGGGATGTGCCCGCAACCCAGGTACATGCCCTTGACCGGAATCGAACCTGGGACCTTTCAGTCCGCAGGCCGACGCTCTATCCACTGAGCCAAACCCGTTTCGGCTCAAGACTTTTTAAAACATGTAATACCTGACTATTTAATCAGTGGCACTGACCTCTTTTCCCTTAAATCAGCGGTCGCCAACCTGTGATCTAAGGGAAAAGACCACTAGTGGTCTATAAGGTCCAGAAGGTTGGCGACCGCTGGTTTAAGGAAACCTTTGGAACAAGTCACCAATTGGGTGGTCCACGGACCACAGGTGGTCGATGAGGTCCGAAAGGTTGGCAACCGCTGCTTTAGATTGTCAAATAAAATAAAAAATGATAACAGCCAGCACAATGATAGCTGTCCAAGGTGAATGAATCAAAATTATACCTTTATTTTTTTTCCAGATGGACAAAAAGTACATTTTTTGGTGTGCCACAGAATTTTAGTAATTAGTTTATGTGTGCCATGAGCTGAAAATCGCTGCCTTAAGTAAATCACTCCCTTCATCTTTCCACTAGTTATGGGCATTGAATCCTCTTGAACAACCAGCTTTACCTTGAGTCCTCTGGCTTTTTCCTATACCTACACATTTTGAGCTCCATGATCCATTTGGCTTTACTTGAGAATATTGTGATGCTTGCCAGCTTGGGCTCTAGGTGTTTGAGATTGCTGTTGTATTAAAGGGTGATTTATAATGCCCTTTTTGTTTTGAGTATTCCCCCAGTGTGCCCCAGACATTGGGCAGAAGGTATGTAACTTGCCTAGGGTTATTAGATAGGAAATCACTCTTAGAGCTGGAAAAGAAACTTGACGTGTAGTTTACATATGCCCTCCAGTACATTCTTTTAGTTTCTTCACTAAGCAGAGTGGGATGCCCTCAGGTCTTACAGCTTGTTGAATTGATGCTGCTTTTGCCTCAGTTTTGAATGGTTTTTAACTTGGACCTTGGCAGTAACTCCCAGACTCAAACATACTTTTGACTTTTTACCCCAGAGAGCTAATTGAAAGCTTTCCCTTTTTCCTGCCTTCTACATACAGTTTGTGACATGGAATTAACCTTCTCTGAGGAATGCTAACGTTAACATCAATGGAAATGCAATTCTTTGCCTACTTTCATGAAAGAAAATTTACAATTTAATTTAAAGAAAAGCCCCAGTCTGGGATTGCTTGACCTTCCTAGTTATTCTCTGGCCTTCAAGCTTTTTTCACTTTTAGAGAGTATTGTGATATTGTAGATGGGTACAAGTAAGTAAACTTACCGAAGTCATGTTACCAGACTTTGTAGAGATGTTCTTTGAGGTTTTAAGTGGGAAAGGCTTTTTGAGCTTTGCTATAAAGCCCGTGTATTGTGCTCTCTTTCAGGTGGGATGTGTGTGGGCTGAAATTCCAAGCTGCGGTTGTGCATGAGAATACGCCCTTCATGGTACCCCGTCTCCGGGAAGTTCTCGGCTCTGTGCGTTCAGTCCCTCAGGAATCGTGGACCTTAATTTACCTTGCTAAGTTCAGACCACCTCTTCTTTTCCTTTTTCCTGCCCATCTTCCTGTTCTTCCTGTCCTTCAGTACTTCTGTAGCTTCCTATTCATGTTCTGTTCCTAGCAGGCCCCGTTGTGTGCAGAAACTGGTGGGGCTATGCCATCTCCTCACCTCCTGTTTCCAGTGGGTGTTGGATTTGGGAATGACCCTGGTGAGAGTGTCACTGCTTCTGAGTCTTTGGCCCAAAGGCTTGTGGCAGGTGGACACAAAGAGTTGGATCACTTTTTTTTTCTTTCCAGTGAAATAAATGGTTTTTCAACTTAGGAATATGTGTGCTTTGAGAGAGTTCTTGTTTGGCCTTTTGTCTGAGTTATTTGTCCCTGGAAAAGAGAGAGGAGGATGTAGTTTGACATTCAGCTCTAGGAGGACATCACTGTTTATTTTCTTTATTGTAGATAGACTTAACAGTGCCAAAGGTAAAAGGGTTAATACAGAAGAACCCAGGCAGGCAGTCTTATTCCAGTAAAGACTTCCTCCCATTGGTCCACCTTTGAAATTGTAAAACTAATTGCTTACTAGTAGTTTTGAGATGTAGGTTTTTTCCTGCTTGAGAAATAGTCATCTCCCACCCCTTACTGTTACCATTCCAACTTCCCAATCAATACATTTAGTTGGACTTATTTCCAAGGAAGATGTCTTAAGAAAAGGACAGTTTTGAGGGAACATTCACGTTTTATGTCATTGGGGGTGCGGGGGGGAATTATGGCTTCAACAGCATTCTACTACTTCTAGGCCAGTAAGTAACACTTTTTAATACCTTTCACCATCTATTTGTATAGCTGACAAAAATCTCACTAATACCTCATTACTTGTACTTACAGCCTTTAGAATGATTGGCATAGAAAAAGGACCTCCCATTGAGTTTTAGATTATTTAACAATAGGATGGATTGGTGAGTGCAGGGAAGAGCCACTTCTTAATTCTATGCTCCTATGAAAACAGACTGTCTTCCAGATTTTATTTTTGTCTATACTTTCTTGCTCCAGTTTTAACATTTAGTAGGGCAGTATCTAATTAGGGCATTTCCCAGAATCGTTCCACAAATAGCACCTACTGTATACTAAGCATTATGCTTTTAGGAAAAGTGGTTATGGTGAAGGGAAATAAGAAAAAGCTGTTTTTAGTTGGGTGAATTTTCAGGATTTTTTTTTTACTAAATGCTTCTACCCTGACTGATTCTTTCTAGTTCATAGATGGCCTAGATGGGAATACCTCTATATTAATATAACTTGTAATTTATTGAATATTTGCTCTATGTGAAACCTTGTGATAGGTGATCCATGTGTCTAATGCATTTTTCTGTTAGTTAAAATCTTCTATTCTACCCTCAGGATACAAATAATTGCTGAAGCTGGAAGCTGTTTTTGATGAGAGGTCAAATGATTAAGACAACAGTTCCAGGAAAACTGTTGGAGTGAAGAGGATTGGAGGTGGGAATAGTTACTCCTATGGGTCGGAAGTGGTCAATGACTAAGATTATGACTAATATCTAGGCTGGGTACTTTGCTTGTATTTGTCTTTTTATCTTAACCTAGTTGGGTTGGTTTTCCACCACTTTGGAGGGTTGTGTCTGCTTTGTTCCCTTTTTCTCTTAAAATACAGACCTGTCACAAATCTAAACTTTTATTGATATACTCCTTGGTCTTATGGGTGGGATTAGCAAGTTTTAAAAGATGGAGACTAACAGTATTCATTGATTCAACAAATAGTGTGACACTGTATAAGGCAGGGGTCCTCAAACTTTTTAAACGGGGGGCCAGTTCACTGTCCCTCAGACCGTTGGAGGGCCGGACTATAGTTTAAAAAAAAAACTAGCCGGCTGCTAAGCAACAGGCAGCGGCGGCAAAAACACCCGGCGGGCCGGATAAATGTTTGCGGCGGCCCGCATGTGGCCCGCTGGCCGAAGTTTGAGGACCCCTGGTATAAGGTGTAAAGTGCTCGGGATGCCTACTGTTCTAGAGCTTACTTTTTAAAAAAATATTTTTTTTTTTATTGATTTCACAGGTAGAAACATCAATGATGAGAGAGAATCATTGATTGGCTGTCTCCAGCATGCCCCACACTGGGGGTCAAGCCTGAAACTCAGGCATGTGCCCCTGACCAGAATTGGACCCGGGACTCTTCAGTCCACAGGCTGAACTATCCATTGAGCCAAACCAGCCAGGGCATCAGGCATATTTTTTTGCATCTGGTTGTGGTGCAGCCAGTTGGTGGGCAAGGTTTCCAGTTCGAATGTTGCTAAGGTTGTTCTCTCAGGAGGCGGCCCACCATGAGGCTGTCCTCGGACAATGATGGCACACCCTGGCAGGACCATTTTGAATATTGCCCTGCTGCACAGTGCGACTGTGGGCCCCTTGGGGGAGCTGCAGCTGTGGGCAGAGGAGGCCATATGTAGAGATGAAAAGACAGCGAATAAGGTGGAAGGTCAGCTAGGAGGCGTCAACATGGGTGTTGGTGAGAGACTCCTGCAGCGAAGCGTGGGCGACAAACTGGACTCTGGGCAGGTCAGACATGTTGGGTGCTCAAAGGAGCAGCAGACTGGGCCATTTCTTCACTCCTTTTTGTAGCAAAACTCGAAAGCTTTTTCTCTGGTTTCTGTTTCCAATTATTGCCTTCCATTTTCTATTCAACCTTCTTTAATCTGACTTATACAACCCTGCCAATCCGCAGAAACATTGCTAGTGATTTCATGTTGCTAAGTAATATGGTCAGGTTTTGTTTTTATAAACTTCAAAGATCTTGCTCATTATATTGTGGTGGTTTCTCTGGGTTTTTAAAAAGTTGTTACTTATTTTAGAGGAAGGGAGATAGGATTGGGAGAGCTAGAGCAATATATAGGTGTGCAGATTACTATAATAAATAGGGTGGCCAAGCCTCATTGAGAAATTGAAGTTTGAGCAGACTTGAATGAGATGAGAGTTAGCCAAATAGACTTCTAGAATTCCAGATAGAACAGTTTTAGCAAGGGCCCCAAGGTTCCAGATTGTAGGTGACCTATTCTGATAGGACACCAGGGGCAAGAGTGGAGTGATGAGAGAGTAGTAGAAGAGCAGGTTGGATAGTTAAACAGTGATCATCTAGGGCAGTGATGGTGAACCTATGACACGCGTGTCAGAGGTGACACGCGAACTCATTTTTTTGGTTGATTTTTGTTAAATGGCATTTAAATATATAAAATATCAAAAATATAAATCTTTGTTTTACTATGGTTGCAAATATCAAAAAATTTCTATATGTGACATGGCATCAGAGATAAGTTAGGGTTTTTCAAAATGCTGACACGCCGAGCTCAAAAGGTTCGCCATCACTGATCTAGGGCAGTGGTCGGCAAACTGCGGCTCGGCAAACCACGGCTCGCGAGGCACATGCGGCTCTTTGGCCCCTTGGGTGTGGCTCTTCCACAAAATACTGACTTCTGCTCATGGGCCACGAAGTTTCAATCGCACTGGACGTGCGCGCCTGCATGTGGTATTTTGTGGAAGAGCCACACTCAAGGGGCCAAAGAGCCGCATGTGCCTCACGAGCCGCGGTTTGTAGACCACTGATCTAGGGCTTTTTTGGCCTTCATTCTGAGTGAAATAGCCTTGCATTGTTTTTAACCAGAGGAGTATTATGTGATGTGCTTTTTTTTAAAAAAATATATATTTTATTGATTTTTTACAGAGAGGAAGGGAGAGGGATAGAGAGTTAAAAACATCGATGAGCAAGAAACATCGACCAGCTGCCTCCTGCACACCCCGCACTGGGGATGTGCCCGCAGCCAAGGTACATGCCCTTGACTGGAATCGAACCTGGGACCCTTCAGTCCGAAGGCCAACGCTCTATCCATTGAGCCAAACTGGTTAGGGTGTGATGTACTTTTTAAAAAATGGCTTTATTGTCATTTTTCATAAATCACAATTTTTAAGAATGTAATTTGACATATTTTGATTGTGTAACCATCACCCCAGTCAGGATATAGAACATTTTTGTCACCTGTGCTGCTTTGCAGATAACCCCCTCAGTCCCTGGTCAATTCTTAGTCTTCATCTGCCTGTTTATATCTTTGGTATTAGTATCTTGACATAGGTGATTACTATGTTCCTTAACACTTAATTCATTTGACTTCCAGGACACGATCCTCTTGGTTTTCCTACCTTCTCAATTTCCTCTGCTGATTCCTCTCTGACCTCTTGATATTGGACGCTCTTATGTTTCAGATTTTTGGTCTCTGGTGATCCTGTGGATTCACATGCCATTCTGTATACAAAAATTCCCAATTTATATCACCAGTTCACATCTCCCAAACTCCAGCCTCATATCCTACTTCCCATTTGATATTTTGCTTGGGTGTCTGATATTTCAAACACAACTTTTATAAAACGAAACTTCTGGTCGTCATGGTTGAGTATTGACCTATGAACCTGGAGGTCACAGTTCGATTCCCTGTCAGGGTACATGCCCTGGTTGCTGGCTCAATTCCAGTGTGGGTTGTGCAGGATGCAGTCAGTCAGTGATTCTCATTATTGATGTTTCTAGCTCTCTCTCTCCCTCCCTCTCTGAAATCAATTTTAAAAAACTGAATGTGTCAGGGTGACATTGGTTAATGAAATTATACAGTTTTCAGGGGTACAGTCAATTCCATAATGCAATATATATATATATATTTTATATTGTGTTCACAACCCCAAGTCAAGTCTTAGATCACCATTTATTCCCTCTTTACCTTCTCCTATCTCTCTCCCCCCTGCCCCCCCTTACCCCTAGGTTTTTCATTTAGACTAAAGATCAGAGTCCATGGACAAGCCTTTATTTAAAGCCCTTTGTGATCTGCCGCCTCCTCTTAGCTCTATGAATTTATTCTACTCTCCTTTGCTCGCTAAGCTTCAGCCATACTATACTGGACGGACTTTTTGTAGATCTATTGACACGCCAGGCCTCTCCTCCCTTAGCATTTGCACCAGCTAATCCTCTCCAGATTATTCAACAATAGATTTGAGTTTTTAAGGTGAAAAAAAAAATTGAACACGTTTTCGGGGCAATAAAAATGAATCTGGCTCTATCCTCTTTTCCATGTTCTTCTTTAGGTGGTATCTTCAATTCCCTTGGCTTTACTGTCTAGATTACGAATATTTCCAAATGTGTGTCTCCAGCCCAAAACTTTCTTCTCTGCTTAAAAAGCTGTATCTGATCAAGAGGCCATGAAAGCTTGATACTTGAATCTGTACCCACGGTTCCTTCTTTTTTAAAAAAAAAAAAAAGTTTTTTTATGGATTTTTTTTACAGAGAGAAAGGGAGAGGGATAGAGTTAGAAACATCGATGAGAGAGAAACATCGATCAGCTGCCTCCTGCACACTCCCTTACTGGGGATGTGCCCGCAACCAAGGTACATGCCCTTGACTGGAATCGAACCTGGGACCCTTGAGTCCACAGGCTGACACTCTATCCACTGAGCTAAACAGGTTAGGGCCCATGGTTCCTTCTAATTTGGAAACCCCCTGATCTGTCCAAACAGGTATTTAGAGTTTCTCTTTGAGAACAGTGGTCATCAGTAAATGCTACTGGTTGTCAAGAGGAAAGGGTCAAAAGAGAAGAGAAAAACTTGATTATATAAGAAGTGACAGTGACGACCTCTTATATAATGTTACAGACATTGGTTAGGTTTTTTTATGTGCTAGAAACTGGACCTCTGCAATTTTCACATCAAATCACCCCACCCCTTCCTTTCATTTTCCTAGGACCTATGGATTGTAGGCCAGTGACGCTGCTGAACATCCTGCAGGATAAGCTCACCTGCCCCCACAAAGTTAGCCAGTCCCAAGTGTCAGTAGTACCAAGGCTGAGACCCTCTTCTAGGTTATTTTATCAATCCCTTGGCTTTGTATACCATCTGAAGTAGTGCTGCCCAACATGATAGTCATAGCCACATACTGTGCTATGAGTGTAAAATACCTAAGGGATTTGAAGAACATAGTATGAAAAAGAACGTAAAATACTCATTTTTAAAATGATTATATGTTGAAATGATGTTTTGGAAATAGTCAAATAAAATACGTTATTAAAAAGCATAGTTAATTTTACCTGTTTCTTTTTACTTTGCTAAATTGACTATTAGAGCTTTTCAAATTACATATGTGGCTTGCATTTGAGGCTCACAGTATATTTTTATTGGTTAATACTGATATGGATGGGGAAAGCTCAAATTTACATTCTTGTCCCAAACCTCTCCACTCAAAGTTCACAGATCCAAAGACCTATAGTAAGTCCTCACTTAATGTAATTGATAGTTTAGAATGAAACCAGTTTTATCACGTGCTGATAGTAAATAGTTAAGTTCTTATAGCATTCTCTTTAATGTTAAAACAACTTTGAATGAGGATCTGCCATACTTGAGATTTTCCTGGGTTGTCTTAATATATCTCAAACCTGTTGTCTGAAATAAAACTCCTGAATCTCTCCCCACTCCAAAATAATTTCTCCATTTGTTTAAATGGTATTACCATCTATGTAGGTGCTTCCCTGTAGTTATCCTTGATTCTTCCTTGTTTCTCATTCCCCCTCAACCATTCTTTAGCATGTATCAAATGTTGCCACTTCTGTTCATGTCTTTGCCACAAAATAGTCAAGACCATACAGTCATCCTGTAGGACTACTACAGTGACTGCCTCTTGGCATCTCATTTCCTTCTTCCTTTTTTCCCTCTCTTCAATTTAATCTCCAGTTGTTGAGATGATATTAACTGTAAATCAGATAGTCCACTCCATAACTTAGAACCTTTCAGTAATACCCTATTGTACTTAAAATAAAAAGCCAATACCCTATCTTGTTCATAATGTGGCCTCTACCCCACACTTGTGTCATATCAGGTCCTTAACCAGTTCTAACCATACTGACCCTCCTTTCAGATTCTAAAACTCCTGCCTTTCAACCTGGGAGAACCTTCTACTAGATCACTTTAGGGCTAATTTATCCTTCTTAGCTTCAGGATCAAGCATCAGAGGGCCCTTTCTGATAATCTGTAAGAAGATGCTCTTTTCCATTTCCCCCACCACTACACCCAGTTTGTCTGCTTTGTAGTAGTTTTCTCAATTTTATTTTTTTGCTTTTTTATTAGCTAACTAGAGGCCCAGTGCACGACATCCCTCAGCCTGGCCTGTGCCCTCTCACAGTCCAGGACCCCTTGGGGGATGTCCGACTGATGGCTTAGGCCCGCTCCCCACCATAGGGGAGCAGCGGGCCTAAGCCAGCAGGCAGACATCCTTAGTGCTGCTGTGGAGGCAGGAGAGGCTCCTGCCACCACTGCTGTGCTCGCTAGCCGTGAGCCTGGCTTCTGGCTGAGTGGCACTCCCACAGGGGCAGCACACTGACCACCAGGGGGCAGCTCTTGCATTGAGCTTCTGCCCCCTGGTGGTCAGTGAAGTGTCATAGCAACCGATCGTTCTGCCATTTGGTCAATTTGCATATTAGCCTTTTATATAGGATATACTTTCCTTAGGGGTCAGAAAATTAATTGCTCCAGTGCCCAACACAAAACAGGCATTTGATGATGTATATATGGAAGCTGCCATTGAACGGTGTGCTCTTCTTGGTAATATATTATCCTCTGCCTTATCCATTCAGGCTTAGTACACTGTCAATAGTCATTCCAGAAACACTGCCAGCATAGGACCAGGTCGTGGGGTAGGATTTGTGGGTGGCTGCTGTTAGGGCTGGAGTCTTGCCCCATCCTGTAGTCTTCAGCAGTCAGGTGGTGGAACTGTTTAATAACCTAGCAGGGCTCTTAGCTTAGAGATTTGGTGATCCTAAATGCAGAGCTCGAGCATGTTTGTCTCTAGGTCCCACAGCTGGGCAAGAAATGGAAAGAGGGGGAGATGGGATCTGTTGATGATAGCTCTCCTCCATCTCCCTGCACAGATAGTCACTATTGTTTTCACAGTACCCTGTCCTTGTCCTTACCTAGCATTTATCAGATGTAATTAGGGTTTGCTTTTCTACTAGGAACCACATGTCTTGTTCACCACCCAAATCCTGGCTCATAGTAGGAATTCAAATTAATTCAGGAGCTTTTAGTGTGAGGGGCCTCAGTGGACTCTGAAATGGTCAATGTACCCACAACATGCAATTTTTCATGTAAGAACTGAGGTTTAGAAATTAACACATTTGTTCCTACTCAGCAGTCTTACATTGGATAAAAGCTAACCCTTTTCCCAGTGTTACCAATTCTAGGAATGAAAGGATTTTCTAAGGGAAAAAGAATTTATGATTCATCAAGGCTATTTTCCTCATATAAGGAACCTATTCTACCATCTAAACCAGCGGTCACCAACCTTTCAGACCTCATGGACAACCAGTGGTCCGAGGACCACCGGTTGGTGACTGCTGATCTAAACTGCTGTCCAATACAGTAGCCACTAGCCACATTCGGTTAATTGTAAGATTTAAAAATTGTAAGACATTATCAACTTCTCAGCTTCATTAGCCACATTTTAAGTCCTCAATACCACATGTGGCTAATTGTCAAAAAAGTTTAAAGCTCAGTTTCTCAAGCCACATTTTAAATACTACAAATTGGTATCTACAAATTGGACCTCACAGATATAAAACACTTCCAACATTACCCAATGTCTTACTGGACAGTGTTGATGTAGCACTGTTTTTGCAGAATCCACTGTTAAGTTAGCACAGGAGAACCGGAGATTTTGGTGAGGCCAGCAAACCTGTATATATTTATTTGCTTTGCAGGGTATGTTGCAGGTCAATCACAAGGAAATTCCAGTATCTTTGCTTAATTCTTTGTGTACTTCACTACTAATTGGAGTATATGCACTGACAGGCCTCGTTAACCTCTCTAGATTGTTGTATCCTACCCCCAAAAAGCAGGGGAAAATTTTGTTTCACCTATGTCAGGATTATTTTAAGTGTAAGGATAAAATATGTGGGGGAAATGCTATATAATTATAATCACAGGTAATGAGAAACATTGATGCCAGAGTGGAACGTTAATTGGTTGCCTCCTGCATGTTCCCACCTGGGGAACCAGCCCATTACCCATGCTTATGTCCTGATCAGGAATTGAACCAACAATCTTTTGGTGCATAGGAAGGTGCCCAACCAACTAAGCCACAGCAGCCAGGGCAGGGCAGACAGAATTTACATGTCAACATCCATATAGGATACAATAAAGCTTAAGTAGGGTTGAATCTGTCATTAAGTTTATTTATGGGGATCTAAGTAATGGTAATAAAAAAGTCTATAAATCTTTTTGTAAAAAGATCTAGAGGACACATTTCATTGCAGAATGTTGTCACTGTCAGTCAATATCCTCGTTTTTCTGCTCAAAATATTAGGACGTTTCTCTTCTTTTGACCTATCACAACTATCTTACTCATTTTAGCTAAAGTTTAATCCTAGCAGAATATTAACACCATGGGAAGAGAACTCTTAAAATAGTTTGTAAGTGAATTTAAACAAACATACACTCTGAAGTCAAATGAAATCAACCTGAAAGGTCCTTGGTCATACTCTGGCTCATCCTTTTCCCAATGCAGGGTTCTCCCTGTGCGGCTTACTTCTGTTACTACTGACCTGGGTTTGTGGAAAGTGTAGCTCTGGTTTTTAGAGAGAAGGAGCATATTTAACAATGTCTAAAAATGCTAGTTAGCTAACTTCTCTCCATCCTCTGCTGAGGCTACAATACTTCACTAAATACTTCTACAATCTAAATTTGAATTCATTTGAATTTTGTAGTTTGAGCACAACTGAGAAAGAATCAGAAGATAATTGTTGTAAATAACATTCACACAAACACAAAAAGATACTTAAGTGTTAGAAACGTTTATTTGTCAAAATATTTTTAAAAAATGGGAGGAGTGGAGCAAAACAAGGCTAAATTTCAGCAAATGCTGTACCACGATCACGTCAGACATAAAAAAAAAACAAAACAACAAACAAAACACCCCCCAACCCCACCCCAGTGGTCCTAGCAATTTCAGAGGATTAGCTTCAATGTTAAATCCAGAGCTAACAGAAGAGGAAAAGGTTGCTTGCCACTAAATGGTCATTTTAAAGGCTAAGGAGATGTTTCAGGTAGACAGGAGGAAGGATTCAACTCCTATGGAAACCAAGATAAGAGGGGTTCCACTGTATTGGAAAAAGGGGATGCCAGCATAATCCTTACCTAGTGCTGCTCAAAGGCTGAGAATATAAGGAATAGAATGAAAGGCTACAGACCCTCATATTAGGAGGAAAGAAAAGTCAACTTAGAAGAATTAAATTAAGAAGGAAAACATAGTTGGTCACAAACTCCTTTGTTTACTGAAACATGAAGCAATGGAAACATCCCGGCAAAGGGGACCGCGTGAAGCAAGTTCTCATATATGACCGCAGCCCGAGGGTTCAGTCCACAATTATCCTACCTGAAAGAGAGCACAACACAAGAGGCTTATACAATGCCTGGAGAGCAGCCTGGCTCCGAGTACAAGGGCCCTGGTCCTGTCCTGTATTCCAGGGGGAAAAGAACAAAGAACAAAACAAAACCAAGTCAGACTGGATCAAATCTACCCCATGTAATTACCCAGGACTCTTATGACTATATATAGGAATCTACTTATAGCTATAATAGAACTAGAAGCAATCTACCTTGAAGACTGCTGTGTTGATGATAAATACATATTTCTCATGTTCTTACCCATTTTTTAGGCAAGACAACTTCTGTAATACACGGCTATTCTCACTATACCAAAGGGCATACAGACATTATCAAAGACTGTAATTTAATTTTTGGGTCCAGGAAAAGCAGAAGATGCTAAGATCTCAAATATGGCCAACTGCTCTATTTATTCTAAATTTGTTTCATCTTAATCTTTCACAGTTAAGTTTTCAAAAGGAACAATCACAAAGGGTATCAAGGAGTGTTTATTTACCCTCCAACATTACCTACAGGTCAGTCATAGATTTAGAACCATAATTCTAGTAGTTCCCCTAATTGACCACATCTCCCTTATCAAATCAAAAGAAGAAATCCTAAAATTCTCTAATTCTTCCATTGATGATGGAAGCTCCAGACACCAATGGCTGGGGGAAAAAAACGTTAACTCACACCAAGCTCCTCTACTTATTACAGACAAAGGGCCAAATCTTGGTCTTGATCTGTGCCAATGGACTTCAAAAGCTGTGACGTTGTTGAATCAGTTCTGCTAGAGTGAGACCCGAAATTGGATCCCCAACAGTTCTGGAGTATTTCATCCTGGCAGCCTCATTACCATCAGGCTCCTGGGACTGCAACCAACTCAGGGTTATTCAGTCCATTTGAGGTTCACACCTGGAAGGTAAGTTTCTTTAAAAGTCATCGTTAAAAAGAGGTTAGTTGAACAACCACTGCTTGAACTCAAAATTCACTTTAAAATAACTAGGCAATATCCTTTAAAGATCACATATACTAACTTAATATTTAACTTTGAAACATTCAAGAGAAAGAAGTTATCTGACAGATAATACCACCTTATTTTAGAGGCATATCCCATTTCATGGCAGATTCAGCTGTATTAAAAGTAAAAAGTAATGGCAAACTACACAAGTTGTAAGGTTATCAACTTCATGCACATGAACACAGTACTGCCCAGTGGTCTCAGGAGATCCCAGTCTTGTCATGGTCTCATGGTCATAAGGGTATCATTTGCCGTAAGTTCATGCCAAATTTGCTTCTCACTATGAAAAAGGGCAGTTCCTACTGCTTTGTTTTCTTCTACATGACAAAACATGTACCAAAGGGATAAGTTAGGAACCCTGGAAACTCAGTGGTAACTAAGTTTAACTTTGCTACTAGGCCTCCCATTCAAGTGATTCTCAATTTCAAGGTACAAGGAAAACCAGAATAGAAAGTTGTCATACCATTTCTACTTGAAGAGACTTATCAATCTAATTACTCTTGCCCTTCTAGCATCTTTGCATACATTTTCTGAAGTAGGAAAAATTAAATTCCCAGGGTCACCAGTGGGATTTTATATACATCAAAAATTACCCTGTTTATCTAGTTCCTTAAATGTTCCTCTCAAACCAAACCAAACAAAACTTGCTGGAAAAAAAGGGAAGCATCAGGCTGAACATGAAAGTATCACTGACTATGCAGAGATACAGCTTACGTGCCCATGTACAATGAGATGCTCCAGATCAGCGGTTGCCAACCAGTGGTCTGTAGGTCCAAAAGGTTGGCGACTGCTGCTCCAGATTACTAATAAGGGACTTCATGGGACAGTGGCATCCAAACACTCTGATTTCAAGCAAGTGTCTTATAACTAAACACCTAAAATTTTATAAACTTTATTTGGCTTATAGCTATATATTAGAAGAGGTTCCTCTGATAAAGGTTAATAACCCAAGTAGTATTTTTATTAGCCAATTGGAAGTCTATAAAGGTGTAGTTAAAATTCTCACTGTGACATTATTAACTCCTGAACCTGTACTCTTCAGCTTATACCACAGTGACTTTAGTGGAAAGATAATGGGTTTAGGAATCAGCCAGGCCTGAGTTTGAATTCTGGCTCTATTTCTCAGTTACCAGATGACTTCAGGCAAAGTACTTAGCCTGAGGCTTAGCTCCCTTCTCCGTATAACAGAACATATCTTAAAGGCTTATTGTGTAGGTGAAATGATATGATATATACACAGGGCACTTAACAAATGTTAGCTCTCTTAACTATGTTTCTGTAACCCAGATTAGCTTACACTTACTTAAATAACAGTATTCTCACTAACAAACTCAGTTTCTTCTCTCTAACAAGTAATTTATACTTTTTGGATACTAATGTCCTGACAGCAAACAGGTGGCTTTAGCTTCCCCCCTACAGCATGGGTCTCTTTCAAGGGAACTAAATGGGATCTTTTAACCACACCTACCCCACTCTCACCTCCAGTTTTTAAAAGGCTGAATACCGCGCTCGGTCCACATACTGCTCCCGTTCATACCGGGCCATGTCATACAGAGAATTCCGTGCAGCTGCTGAAGCCTGAGACAGCTCACTGTCTGGCCCATAACCGTAGCCCTCTCCAACTGTGGGGAGCACAGCTGCAGCACGACGAATGGGGCTCCTGTCCCTTCCATAATAGGAGGAAGTGGTGGCAGCAGCAGCAGCCATAGCTGAGGAGGCAGCAGCACCTGAGTTCGGCAACAGGTGTCTGTCGTACGGATCAACAGAAGAGTTGAGGTGACTGGTCACAGCTGTGTTCTGGACTTGAGGCAGATGGGACATGGTCTGTTCTGCGTAGTTGTATGCAGAAGCTGCTGCTGCTGCTGCCACTGCCTCATAAGAGCGAACCCGGTAACGCTTATAGTAGTCGAGTGCTCCATATGCATCGTTGTAATACATGGATTCCCCATAGCCCATGGTGTAAGGCGTGCGCACGGCTCCGTATTGTTCATTATACTGCTCAGTAAAGTCTGCTACGCGACCCGTACGATCTACTGGGCACTCTTTAGACCAGTGCCCCTCCTTCCCACACCGATAGCAGCCACTCTGGTCTCCCATCCCAGGGGCAGTCCGAAGGCGGCTTGTAGACAATTGCACGTGCATTCTTTTGCCTTGAGAAAATAGATATAAGATTTATTATAACTCACTCAGAATTCTTTATCCTCCCCAAAATGAAACTAAACTAGTTGGCACAAAACACACACACATCCACACACACACACACCTGAGATCCTGTTTCAGCAATCCCCTCCAAAAGCAGTTAAAGTTTTAATATAGATAAGAACTAGAAAATTTGGGTCCTCAGAGACCAGTCAACACTTTCTACTTACACTATAGGTAGACCAAATTTCATCCTACTTCTGTCTCCACAACTGCCCCCTGCCTAATACAGAAATGGAAAGTTTCCACTTTTCACTGCTAAGACTGTGAGATTTTATTTTAAATGGGACTATGAGATTTTAGCAATTCAAAACCTGCCAATTCTTCCAAACCAAATATCCAACAAAACCTTAGTTATGCCCGATTTGGAAAGTATCTTACCAACCTCTCCCTGATTTATTCAGGGCCATTAGGCCTGAGCATTTACTGCAGCTTAAAGACCACAGCAAACTTCTGTCCATCTTGTTTCCTCCAGCCACTATTGCAGTTGTCACAAAAGGCTATGTTGGTTACACAAATCATACCTGGTTCATCATATACTTTATAACTCTTCAGATTTCAACCCCACCCCCACTTTTTTCAGCATGCCTGCTGTGGAAAAGAATTCTATTTGACCAAGGTCTCTCAACAGCAAAATGAGATCTTGAAGTAGTACTGGTTTCTTAGGGACGTTGTGCTCCCATGTAATGGAATAATTAACATTTCATCCTGTCATGTAGTTTACAATTCTTTATAGGGGATTATCTACTTGTTAGAAAAATGCAGCATTTGTTTAAAGTCCTCTGGGCACCCATACAAACAAGCCACATTCAGGGAATGACCAGCACCAAGGAACAGCTAAGAAGAAGAAAGTCTCTGCCCTGGGTTTGTGTACCACCAAGCCCAGACACCCTTACTGATGAAAGCATCCAAGGTCTTTAAAAGCAGTTTGAGAAAAGGAGTATTTGGGTTAGTATTTAGTCTCAAACTGCCTAAGACTTTGGAGATCAAGTCAATGCTTTTCAAATTATAGCCAAAACACAGCCAGTACAGACATAGGGAACAGGGGCTTCGCATCACTCTTAAGGGCTGCTCAGAACAAATTTCCCCCCTCCGCGGTCAGCAAGTTGCTCTCTCTTTGACAGACCTTGTTCTGGATGCAGTTATGCGATAGGAGGCCTCGTGCTCCACCATCCTGTTGGAAACAGCCCGATTCAGGACGGCAGCCAGAACAGCGCCATGCACTGACCCTGAGAGGGGAGCGGGTTAGTGCAGTAATATCACTTTAGTCAAACTCATTTCTGCCCAATGTCTAAGATTCCTACCACCCCAGTTTCCAGCAGTTGCTACCTCCAACTTAAACCTTTCTTTAGCAGAAATAAAGGTGCTCAGATTTTTAATTCCAACTGCTAGTAGAGAGGCAGTATCCACCATACAGTCACTGATAGTCAACAGATACCAAATGGCAGTAATTCTCTGAAAGCAGCATTTAGCCATCCCACTGTTTTCAGCAATTTGAATATTCTTATTCCAATTCTTAGAAGTTAAGGACCACATGCTAACTATGCATAGAACAAAAACACACAGATTTTCTTCTCCAATTTATATAGAAGGTGTAGGGTTCACTATAATCGAGACTGGAGGATTACAAATTATTTGTCTTTCAGCCATGCATGGTGACATTAATCTGTGTGACAGACACAAACTGTGCTCCAATTGTGAAGTCAGACTAACCAATCTAAAAAGCAGCCAATCCAGGAAACTTAGAAATACATTTTTAAGAAAAAAATTGCAATTTAACTTGCTCTTTACTTTTATACATTTTGGGTGCTTTTTTTTTTTTTTTTTTTTTTTGAGAAACAAAAACCAATGATTTTTCCTTGATGCTTCTGTTACTACATCGTTTTTATCCCTGCTCTAAAGATTGGAACTTCTAAGTTTATAGATATCTGTGGCAAAATCTACCTCTAGTAGTAGCTATGAAAAGGACTTAGGTTATTTTTACTTATTTATTTTTTTACCTAGAACTAAAAGATCTATAATAGAAGGGATAGTTGTTGTTTTTCCCCCAACACAATCTTCCCAAAGATTGTAACTATGCTTTTAATTTAAATACCCTAAAGTTTTTATAATTGAAAAATACTGTGCTTCTCTATTATCTTAAGGAATGAGAGCAAATAAAACTGAAAGAAAAGTAAATTTTACCACTCCCCTACACTTAGAAAACAAAGATTTCCTGAGACCTTCAAAAATTACTGAAATGCACTGCCAACATTTTTCTGAAAACTAGCCCAATAAAAGTGTTTTCTTCTGAATTCTGGAACAGAATTATTTTGTATTAAAATGCTGAGGTGTGCAACCTGGGGTCCTAATTGCTGAACTCCTATCATTGCCAGGATCCAGAGGCTGGGGATGTAGCTGACACACAATAGTACTTCAATTTAATGCTTGTTTACATATTGGGGGGAAAACACAAAACACCTGAACTCTTACATATTCCCAATTCAGCTGCCTGAACTGTTTGTTACTTAGGAAGGCTTTAAGGTTTTCTAATGCAAGCTGTTTGCTAACTCAATAGGGGTGCAGTTCACTGCTACTGTGGAGAGGAAACAGATCCTGAAATACCCAGGTAAACTCAGATTCTGCTGCTTCCTTTTAGAAGTCAAACAAGTCAGAAGCCTAAATGGCAGTCATTAACATATGAAGTTTCAATAGATGCCTAAAGTGGTATTCTTAAGACGCTACCTTCATTAAATGCCTGCAAAGGATTTATCAAAAAATGTGATAAATTGGTATCTGGATTGTATTTTCTGTAAAACTGCAACTTACTATCCAACTAGAGGCCCCATGCACGAAATTCGTGCAAGGGGCTTGGCCCTCGCAGCCGCAGCGGCTTGCCTCAGCCCTCACAGCCCTGGCTTCCTCCGGAAGGTTGTCTGGAAGGAAGTCTGGTCTAATTAGCGTATTATGCTTTTACTATTATAGATGCTAAACTTTCTCTTGTCATCTGGGGAAAAAAAAAGCTGGTTATAAAAACATCTATGTGTAACTCAGAGTACTTCCTCCAGAGGGGTCAGGCTAAGAACATGAAAACCAAATAAAGTATCTTTCTTTCCAGTGATTACATTGTAAAAAAATCTTATGAATCGTGTGTAGTCGGATATCCACTTCTTCAAGTAATTAAACCTGCTTTATTAAAACACACATTCCTCCCAAACCAACTTCCCCCAATTAAATGACTTTTATATACATATTTTGGACCCTATCTCTTTATTCAACTGTGAAGTTTCTCTGCAGTTGTTTTTTTTTTAAACAAAGCTCATCTTAGATTCACCACATATTTAAACAAAGGTCATTTTAGATTCACCACATATTTTAAAATATATTTTTATTGCCTGGCTGGTGTGGCTCAATGGTTGAACATTGACCTATGAACCAGGAGGTCACGATTCGATTCCTGGTCAGGGCACAAGCACCGACTCGATCCCCTACCTCCTGCATGCCCCCCACTGGGGACCGAGCCTGCAACCTGGGTATATGACCTGACCAGGAATCGAATTATGGATCATGGGTTGATGCTCAACCACTGAGCTACACCAGCCAGGCTCTCTGCAGTTTATACCTGACTTTAACTGCATTCTTTTTACATTTTGCTTGTTACCCATCAAAAGAGAACCCACATTTTTATCTGCCACTATTCATGATTCCCTCCCCTATCAAATGAAAATACTAAGAATATCTTTAAAGCTGTCTGAAGTGCAACAGCTTTCCAAGATAAAATAAGAATAGCTATCATGCCCAGCTGGTGCAGCTCAGTGGCTGAGGGTCGAATCATAAACCAAGAGGTTACCGGTTCAATTCCCAATGAGGGCACATGCCCAGGATGTGGACTCGTACCCCAGTAGGGATGTGCAGGAGGCAGCCAATTGATTATTCTCTCATTATTTATGTTTTTATTCCTCTCTTGCTCTCCCTCTCTCTGAAATCAATAAAAACATATTTTTTTAAAAAGCTATCATATTTTAAATAAGTTTCTAACCATAACAGAAACATTCATTGTTGTGAACACTCACCTTTCACCACATAGTGTTTTCACTGTCAAAACACTTTCACACCTATACCTCATTTTGGCCTCACTACTATTCTGTGAAGGAGGTACCACAGGGGTTACTAACTCTATTTTGTAAGTGGGGAAGATGGATAAAACACTTGTCCAAAGTCATACGACTAGTTAACAATAGCAAGTATCTAAGGACTTTTGCCCTAAGCTTTAAAGAGCAGCTAAAGGCCAGGGTACCACTGGCTGTGACCAGAGATATTTGCTGCACTATCTGCAATCTCCTCTATTTGCAAACTTTCTTACCCTTTTCTGGTCAACTTTTCCTCTTCTTCCATTTCGTTTCTGTTTTCTAGATTTAGCAGAGGGCCCTTAAGTACTTCTTAACAACTCTTTTACTGGCACTCAAGACAAAAAATGGTGTTAATTTATGACCCTGAGAAGTGGCTGTAAAGCCTTGTAGAACAGTGCTGTCCAACAGAACTTTCTATGATCATGGAAGTGTTCCATATCTGCACTAATACAGTAGCCACTCACCTCATGTGCATTCTGGGTGCTTGCAATGTGTGCAGTACAACTGAGAAACTGAATTTTAAATTGTATTTAATTTCAATTTAATAGCTATCTGTGGACAGTACAGTTCTAGAGTCATCAGATGACCTCCTGTACCTTTATGATTGGTATAACATATTATTTACTAGAATATCTTACTGGATCTCCTTAGAAGCAGGACCATCATTCCCATTCAATCTAATTATTTTAGAATTGTTTACCTTTAAAATTAAATAATAGATGGGGCAGAATACAGTCCCTGACTTACGGTGGTTCGATTTTATGATGGTGTGAAAGCAATATACATTCAGTAGGAACCATATTTTGAATTTTGATCTTTTCCCGGGCTATCAATATGTGGTACGATACTCTCATGATGCTGGGCAGTGGTGCCCCAGCCACAGCTCCTTCAGCCATGTGATCACAAGGGCAAACAAATGATACTCTGTGGCAGTGGTTCTCAACCTTCCTAATGCCTCGACCCTTTCATACAGTTCCTCATGTTGTGGTGACCCCCAACCATAAAATTATTTTCGTTGCTACTTCATAACTGTAATTTTGCTACTGTTATGAATCGTAATGTAAATATCTGATATGCAGGATGTATTTAGGCGACCCCTGTGAAAGGATCGTTCGACCCCCAAAGGGGTCACGACCCACCGGTTGAGAACCGCTGCTCTATGGTATAGTATTAAATGTATTTTCAACTAAACGATATTTCCACCTTGCAATGGGTTTATTGGGACATAAGCTGAGGAGAATCTGTAGTCCATGGTTTCTGGCTCTGCTTGAGCTGAACAAATTTGAGCACTCAAAAGACACTCCCCCCAAATCCAGATTCACCGCCCAAATTTAGAACATAGGGATTCCTCCACATGTTTTTGTTTCTCTTGCCTACCACAACCCATCATGCATGGTAGTAAAGAGTATAAATTCTACACATCTAACCTCTCAAACATAAGGCTTCCTGGTCATAACAAAAGCCAGACTTTTATCCTCCCTTCTCCCATGAGGTACTCATGCCCAGGCAGATTAAACTTCCCACAGCATTGAAATGAGTGAAGCCCGAAGGATAAAGTAACCCAGAGTTTGTGATTCTATGTAGTTGTCAACAATCTGAAAAGGATTTGGCAAATCTCAAGAATGGTAGACATACAATCTTCCTATTATTTCCAGCTAAAATAGCATGTAAGGAACCGCCCTGCCAGCCCCATGGTCCTGTGTTCTTGCCTGTCTTGACCTAGACCCCACTCAGTTCTGCCACCAAGACCCCAGAGCAGTTCACCTTGAAACTCTGTGTTGTCGAGGCCCCTGATGGCCTCGACCGCATCCTCTGCCCGCTCCATGTGTACGAAGGCATAATCTTTCACGATGTCACACTCGATGACTGGACCGTACTCCTCAAACTTGGCCCGAAGCTCTTTGTTGGTACAAGTGGGACTGATGTTGCCCACATGTAACTTTGTGGAGGTTTTGCTCTTATTCTTGCTGGCTTCCACATTGATGTTCACCCCGTGCAGCTTGTAGTGGTGCAGGTTGCGGATGGCATCTTCTGCCGCCGTCTTGTCCTCTATGTGCACGAAGCCGTAGTTCTTAATGATGTCACATTCCAGCACCTTCCCGTACTGCTCGAAGAGTGTGCGGATCTCCTGCTCTGTGGCCTCCCGGGGCAGGTTTCCGATGAACAGCTTCACCATCCTGACGAGAGCCTGAGAGAGAAGAAACAAAATTTCCAAAAGTTAGGGGTGCAGTGGACCTCAGTGCGTTGACTTTGGTTAGATCCTCCGCGTACGTTCTTGGTACCTTCAAGACCCTCGCACAGGCGTCCGTTATTTTTTCTCAATAGGAGGAGAAAGGGTTGTTTTTAGGGAGCCGTGTGCGCTGTGTGGGGCACACAAACTGGAGGTCGGGGTCAGTATGCATTGCCTTCTCCATCATCTCTGTGAAATGAGGAGCATTTGAGTGACAGGCTTAGCCGTTTCACGTCTTAAAATACTCTTTCGGGGCAGGAAAGAGAAGAGCTCAAGCAGGGTCCAGAGGCACATATCTGAGTGTCCCCGGGCGCAAGGTTTTGGAGGGAAATCTGTGTACCTCTCCTCCCTCAGGCTTCACCTTTCAAGATGCTCTCAAAATAAGGCCCCTTGGGCCCCAATCCAGGACACCTCCC